AGATTGACTATATCACACTGCCACCAACCCGCCAAGGCAAGCGCCATGTGCTTACCATGGTGGAAGCAACCACCGGGTGGCTGGAAACATACGCTGTGCCCCATGCCACTGCCCGGAACACCATCCTGGGCCTTGAGAAACAGATTTTGTGGCGACACGGCACCCCAGAGAGAATTGAGTCAGACAATGGGACTCATTTCCGGAATAACCTTATAGATATTTGGGCCAAAGAGCATGGCATTGAGTGGGTATATCACATCCCCTACCATGCACCAGCCTCTGGGAAAATCGAACGGTACAATGGGCTGTTAAAAACTACACTGAGAGCGATGGGTGGGGGAACTTTCAAGCATTGGGATACACATTTACCAAAGGCCACCTGGTTGGTCAACACCAGAGGATCTGCCAACAGGGCTGGCCCAGCCCAGTCAGAACTTTTACATATTGTAGAGGGGGACAGAGTTCCCGTGGTGCATATGAAGAATTTGCTGGGGAAGACAGTCTGGGTTATTCCTGCTTCAGGTAAAGGCAAACCCACTCGTGGGATTGCTTTTGCTCAGGGACCTGGATATACTTGGTGGGTAATGCGGGAAGATGGGGAAGTCCGATGTATACCTCAAGGGGATTTGATATTAGGGGAAAACAGCCAGTGAACTCAATTGTATGCTGTTGCCTGCTGTGTAATGCTTTTATAGCCCATCAACTAGATGTCTCCAGGTCACCAGCGACTGGCCCTGACTTCCCTCCAGCCATCATCCCAACAGAGAATGAACTTGGAACATCATGGACCGAATGGACTCGGCAGCATTATAGGGATTGGTCCATGCACTAAGAAAATGATTTTTTTCCTCTTGGTCTGTATGTATATGGATGTATATATGTGGGAGAGCAACGGTGTATTGAAAATGTGGGATCTGAGCACGACGTGAATGGTATGGAATAAGGGGTGGATAATGTCCTGGGTTCAGCAGTAGCAGTCATGTTTTTTCCTTTGTGTTAACTGGTGCAGTGCTGTGTTTTGACTTCTAGTTTTGAGAACAGCGTTGGTGAAGCCGATGTTTTCGGTTGTTGCTAAGTGATGTTTACCCTGACCAAGGACTTTGTGAGGCTCATGCTCTGCCAGGGAGGAGGGGAAGCTGTGAGGAAGCAGAGACGGGGCGCCTGACCCGGGCTAGCCGGGGAGGTATTCCATACCACAGCACGTCATGCCCGGGGTGGGGGGTAACTGGGAGTTGCCCGGAAGGACAGGGGCTTCCGGGTGGAACTCGTTTTCTTGGCCGGTGGTATCGTATTCTCTTCCCTTGTTATTTTCCCTTATCATTGTTTTAGCTGATAGTAGCGGTGGTGATTTGTTGCTGGACTGTTCTTGTCTCAACCCGTAGGAGTTGCACTCTCTCGATCCTCCTCCCCGTTCCTCCGGGAGCGGGGAAGGGGAGAGCCCCGGTGCAGGGAGGGGGGGGGGAGACGAACACGGACCTTGATTGTTGTCAGCTTGGCACCACTCACTGGGAGTGAGTGAACAAGTTACCTGACTGGGTTTAAACCACGACACAGACTAAGCGATCCATGGATAGGAACATAATCAGACGCAAGTAACTCAGCAGGAAAATGCAAATCATTTTGTAAAATAATTATCACCTTAGTGACAGGAGGTTGAAAAGATGTATGTATCAGTATTTGTAAGAATGATGGGGGTTTGCTTCCCTGTATATCTATACAGTTTTTCAGGTTTTAGTACTAAATGCTCATAAAAGCATCAAATGAAAATTCGTTGTCATTAATAACTTTCAATAGTTGTTTACTTTCAGCCCTTAATCCATGGCCTTCTTCAAAATTACTTGTTTTTTCTTCTCGGAAAATCAGTATTAATATTTCAGAGTAGCCTAAGAGTAGTTGCAAAAGCAATTACTTTGAGATTTGTGCAACTCTGAACAGGAATGCTGTCGTTAATGGTCACGTCATGACCCACAACTGGGAATATAGTTGTCAGTAATGACACAAAATAAGCCCAGAGTCATTTAAGACACTGAGATAGGATATCATAGGAACAGCCTGTACGCAGACTCTGAAGATTGCGCTACATTCATTTGACTGCTTAATCGTAAATCTAATATTACAACTGTCTTAACTTTAATATGCATTCTTCGTGACTACAAGACATACATGCCCAGATGTTTTACTAAAATGTAATACCACCTCCAAACCTTGCTTTCATCATGTCTGTTTTGACAAAATGAAATTATCAAAGCGTTAAGACATGTTCAGTATTTTCTATGGTACATATATCTTATAGCATCTCAGATACTACTCTCTGGCAAAATTAATTAAAACCTGAAAAAAATTTAAAAAACTTAAAAACATTTTAACTTTAAAAAAGAAAAAGCAAAACCCACAACATTTTAAATATCATGCTGCTATGACCACACAACCCTTCAGTGCAGCATTACTATGGCTATAAATTGGCCATAAGCTTCATACTGAATTTGTGAGGCCTCAGGTCTGAGGCTTGGCAGATCTGCTCTGTCTGAACCTCTACTGAACTGCAGTTTTTCTTTACTTGGTTGAGCTACAACAGCAATTTCTCTGATCGACTGGGTGTCTATGCAAGCTTATTTTACTTTTGTTTAACTTCACGTGGTACAGCCATGGGTTTATGCAGACATAGCAGTAACAAGCAGTAACCCGCATTACTGGATACTTAGGGCTCTAACACAATGAGGCAGTGCAAAGAAACACATATCTGGGAAAACTTCAGTAGCCTGGGTATGTGAAACTGAGGAGTGCAGTCATGGGACGATAGGGATGGGGTGCAGACACAGAGACCTCGTGCCCATAAACAATTCATCTGTGGTGAAGAAATGCAGACCTGAGCTGGACAAAATTAGCACATTTGCAAACATATTAAAATGACCTTGAGCAGACCTGGTAGGGAGGAAGAAGGAACCATCAACATGGACAATCTGGTATTCCTTCTTGTGAGGGACACAGTTGCTGCCAGCTTGTTACGATACCCCACTGACACCACCAGTGTGAAACCTCTTGGTTTAGGGCCCCGAGGATCTGGAAATGGGGAGCATGGCACCAGGAAAAGGGTTAGAAACCAAGAAATATGCATGCAAAAATCCTAACTGCATTCTTGTTCCATCTTTTACTGGACTAACAATAATGAGATTCTAGTGATTTCAGTTATACTAATAATATATTATTTGCCTTACTGCAAACAACATTTTGAATGTAACATTGTGTAAGTGATGCGAATTTACAGTTACCTTTCTTTAAATTAAAATTTATTTATTTCATTGTAGTGCCTTTAAAAAGCTGCATGAACTGCTAAACTTTTAAAGGACCCTTTGACTTTCAACTGGTGCTGTAAGTACTGGAAGGGAGCCTGTGGGCAGACTGTTGAGAAAGGTTATGTTCACCAGACTTGTGATGTAGCTACCTTATTTGGGAGATGGAATGACACATTTAGTTGAAAAACTTTCATAGATCTATCCTTTCTGCTACCTTTGACGAAGGTGAGAAGGTCCCTAAAATGACTCTTCAAGGAACACTTGAAAGTATAAGCAAATGCAAGCATGTCTTTTTATTCTGAAGGTGTTGCTGAAGAGTTATTCTAAACTGTGTGTGTAATTTATGTCTGAAAGCAGATGGTGGTTTGAACTAGAAGAACTGCTGGGGAGCCAACAGTCAGAAAAAAATTCCTCATTTTTCTCAGAAAGGAATCTTAGCGGAAATAAGCCAAACCATATTTTTATGGATGTTGCATGCATGTTTTAATTTCAAGCTCCGAGAGTGCCTTGGTACACATTATGTTGCTAAATCCCTTTGCAGCATATATTAATCTGTAGTGTTTTCTGTATATCAGTTATGCTTTGCCTGGCCACTTCATAATAACTATATTTACTCTGCAGATCAATTTAGGATCCAGCACACTGAAAAAAAAGAATATCTATCTTGGAAGAACTGTTTCCTGGAATTGCATCCCTCTGTTTATGGATGTTTTTTCTTTTCCTATAGTAACATTATTCAAAATCCTGAACAGGATGTTTAAAAATCAGGAGCATGTTAGTTTGAAGATCATTGATCTCTGTGATTATTAGAGTCAGAAAGCAATTTCTTCTTTCAACAATAATTTCTCAAAGCAGGTTAGCCTGGAAGAGTACACAATCGCAACCATAGTACTAGAAAGTAATTCCAGTCCTGCTTTCGTTTCACTGACACTTTGCAATTTAGTAGATTAGCAATGGAAATACAAGTTTCAGATACTTCTTATGAAAGAAAAAAAAAATTACATTTAACCAGCATTGCTTTACGTGGAACCAATAATATGTAAGAATATATGCACCCTTTTCATGACTATCTCAAGGCTTTGACTCCATCAAGTCTATATTATTTTTCATGTTTACTTTTTTATTGATAACTGTACTACTACTAAACCATAGATGTCTATCAACAGGTGCATGGAAACAGATGTAAGTAAAGCAGATATAATGCATTTGCCAGTGATACCATTACTTCACATATCAAATATTGTTCTTGCACAAATGCTGAATGGATCACCAATTTAAATTTGCCAGCCTACTTTTAAGGCTGACCTTTGATTACTTGTGGACATCTGTGGATTTGCGTGGGAAATTTCCAGGGTCAGGAAACCCACCTGCATCCATGGATTAATACATATTCCGAAAAATATAAAAAAATAAGACCTTACTATGAAGCTTTTCTATTCTTCATCTTTCCCTCTTTTTCACCAAATATGCAAGCACTGGGATTTTATCATTTCTTCATACATATCATGCTGTGATCAAAAGCAATTAAATGTACTGCTGGTGTTTATACAAAAGGGTATCTGAGGCCACTTTGATATCCTAGACAACATCTTCCTGCAGTTCCTCTTCCCATTTGTATATCATTTAGATGCAGCAAACAGCAATTTAAATGGAAAGAGAAAAAAAAAATAAAACCCTACACATATGGAGACACTATCTTACTGATTGTAGACGACAGTCCAGTAGATGTCCACACCTTTGCTGAGCTTTTGCCACCTCTGCAGTTAAAAGGAGAGCTGTAGTCACTTTGCCAAGGTTATTCATCTGACCTACTTCAGCTACCTTCCTTGGGATAAGATGAATCCTGTTATGGAACTGCTTAGTTTTCCCTGAGTGCTCTAAGGGGGCCTCTGTAGACAGCTTAAACCTGAGGACATGGATCAATCCTCAGGAACTTAAAAATAAATTGAAACAAGAACATAATTTTATATTATGTTCAAAAATAGGAAAAAACAAGCATACAAGTTTTTTGCTACTAGAGTAAAAACGGATTCTTGTAATAACCTTCTGCTATAAATTATTGGAAAATAATATTTTTGAAACAATATCATATTTTTATTAGAATACTTATTTTTTACCCATTTATGTATCCTTAAAAAAAATATTTGCTTCATACTATACATTTCTGATCCGTTTTCTTCATTAGTCCTACCCGATGTGTAACTGTGTGGCTATTATAATTCTTTTTAGTGGTTTTAAAAACAAAACTTTATTTTAAAAATACAATGCTGGTGCATCTTACCTGCTTCCATGCTACCGCAGGAATTGTAGGTCAGCATTTTCCTGTGCTGAGCATCAGTTCTGCTCAACAGAAAGCAGAGCCTATTCAAGACAGTGTTGCAACACTTTGGTTCTTTGTTACTTCAGGATTACTGTAATGCATTGTAAAATAAACCCTCCATGACAAACAATGAGGAAAGATAGAGAAAAAACACTGTATAACTGCACATTGAACAGGCAGTTCCTTGTACCTGGCCAATGCTTTTAGGCAGTGTGACTTTCTGCTATTATTTTCCTTTACTTTTTGGGTGGTGGGGGCACAAGCCAAATTCAACTTGTTCAAGTTCAACAGTTCAACTGTATATTTGAACTGTAGTTTTACAGAAATGCACATGTATTCTAATGTGTTTACGAACTAAGTACACTGCAAGAAAACAGCCTGTGGTTCTCTAAGCACATTCTTTAATTTCTCCTTTAATTCTCATTTTATTCTGTCCTTGTCACATAATGATCACTAAGAGGGTATTCACCTGATTGTGAATGCTCACCATGAGGTATGATTAGCAGCTCCAAGGATTCTAAAATTTCACAAAATATAATAATATTGGGGGGAGAAGGCTTTTCAACTTGCAACCCTAAAATGAGCTGTTTTGCCATTAAAGTACAAATTCCTCACCCATAAAATGGGGAGAACCTTCCTTACAGGATAGCTATGAGACAAAAATGAGTGATGTCATTGGGGCATTCTGATCCAGCCTGTGAACAGGAGGAACAGAAAGGAAAATAATGGTAGTGATGAGCACCAGTTGTGGGCAAGCACACTGAAGTCCTCCCAGATAATGCCCAGAACACATGTCTACAGCTGCTTGAACAACTACCCAGGGCCTGAATGATAAAGGCGAGCTAGGATAATAAGCGTATCCTAAGCCTTAAGGCAGCAGTACCCCATGAGGGCTGCTGACATAAGCAGAACAGGAGGATAGGAATAAAACATGAGGACAAACCAGTGGACAGCTCTGTGTTCCATTTCCTATACCGGATGAAGTTTTCTGTAGTCCATTCAGTATTCTGAATGAATCAAAAGCCCAGAGGAAAACCAGTGTGTTGCATTCACAACCCCACAATTAAGGTACATCAGGGGTTGATTTTTCATGTACTTTGAATAGGAGATTTTAGTTTGACTTTGTGTTGCAATGCTTTTAGAATATTATCCATGCAAAATTGTCTGCACTCAAAAACCTGTTCAGTCTTTTATTAAAAAGTTACAGTAAAACACCCTCTTTCACAGACATCCCCTTTTTGTGAGTAAAGAACTTGCGTGCTCTTGTGAGGTTGGGAGCTATGCTGGTGGTGGCCTATACCTCCAGTAGGGTCTCCCATGCCAGACAGGTCTCAGCTGAAGGATCAGACAAAGTGTGTTCATGGGCAGGATGGGCTCACTAGCCTTCTGGCAACCATCCTAGGAGAAGGAAAACTCTAACTTCAAACCTGGGCAGATGGAGCTTGTTTAGCTCTGTAAGTCCATCCATCTAAGAGAAGGATACTCTAACCAAACTTATGACCTGAGGACTTTGCTGTCACCGTCCAAGCTCGCTAGGCCCTGGCAGATAAACCTCAGGGGTAAAGGGTGGAGCCAGTTCCACGCACGCTGTGCCTCACCTGAAAAATCCACTGCGCAGGCCTGAAGGGTTTACCCACACTTGCAAAGCCCTGTAGAGACAGGCGAGGGACGAAATGGCAGGTGATAAGGTGCACTGGAAGCCGCAGACCCAACCCTGTATGCAGGCGGTTCAGGACATTGGTCGCTCCATAGCACCATTGTCTCCTTTGAGAACTCACGCAGAATTAGTCTTGAGGAGAAAAGACAAGGTAGAAAAAATCGCACCCCGCCTATGTCACCCAAGGAGACCTTTCACTGTGCTTTTTGCAACCAGATTTGCCTATCCCACGTTGGCCTTTTTAGTCATCAGTGTGCTTGTAGTAAGCGTGCATAAAGCCCTTCCCAAATCTTCATTCATGAAGTCAAGCCATGATGATGATGATGGTGATGATGATGATGACAGTAAAACACTGTAGTTCAATTCCACATATATTTTACAAATAGATTACAAAGGAAATAGAAACATGTTTTTCTATAGCTGAATTTCTATTTACCTTTAAATTATGGATGAGTTTTTGTTTGATTTAAGTCATCCACAAGCAACATACTGTCAAGTACTGGCCATCCCTGGAGAGCATCACTACATGCATATTCCTCAAGGTATGTTCCAAAAAAAAAAAAAAAAACCAAACAAAAAGAGAAATTGAAGGCTGCTTCTTTAATATGGCTACCTGCAAAACTGCCAGACTGTGTAAGTGAATGCAGGAAGATGTTACAGTTGGTTTCCTGTGACAGAGCACTGATGTTTTCACCCTGTATGGTGGATCATCCTGGGATCACACTCCTGAGGATATGCTAGGTTAGGATGAAATATGCAGACCTATTGCAGAAAAAGAATCTGCTTTGACTAATGAGCAGAATAGCAAAAAGAAAACAAGATCTGACAGTTCCTTGATACTAAATGGTGTGACCTAAGCCCATAGCTGTCAAGGTTTTTGCACTGCCAGAAGGGAGATTTGGGGGTTTTGGAGCCGGAGAAACAACTATAATGATTCAGACTTAACCTCAGCAGTGCCCTGGACCATTATTTAATGATGACTCACCTTGGAGTATGCTAGTTAAATATTTTGATAAATGGAGGAAATAAAAGTTACTGGTCCCAACAGTTCCACTGTACATAAATAAAAGAAATAGTTGATAAAACAGTATGAAAAGGCAGGCAGGTAGCATATAATTATTCCCCAGGTGACAGGAAATAAAATGGGCAGCGTAAATCTACTAAAAGGTGTAATTATCTCCAGGTACCAGGCCCACATGAGACATTATCTAACATCTGCAAAAGCCATAGCATTGTTTATTTTCACCTGATGCATTCATAGCAAATATTGCAGCAAATTAGTAAAAGCAATAGGCGGTTGTTGCACAAGAATAAAATGTAAAGGAAAAAACAGAAGTAATGTCTGAGATTTGTGTAAGGGCACTGAGTAAGAGCTGATGTGACATGTTAGACTCACTGGGCAAGGAGCTCAATTAAATATGTATGGTATTCTTCAGGAAATGTACTACATCTTCCATGTGCTCAAAGGTACAGTGAAAATATTTTGCTGCGTTGCTGACATCCAACAAGTTACCCAGGGCCTTTGCACAGCTGCCTTGCTGTCCTCTGTAGCACTGCAGTGATGATCATCATGACATCCTGCACAAAACCCAGTCATGTCCATTGGGTCTGGCACCTCTCCATCTGCTCAGAATGATGGGGTATCCTACAGACACCTTGCATGTGAAGTCAGGCATGCTGCAACATTAATAAGATGAGGTGCATAACTGTAAAGAAGATGCCAGTCAAGGCAGCCAAAAACCAAATTATTTTTTGTGCTTTTTTTTTGTGTGAATGTGAAAATGGAGATATGATATTAAGTGACAACTATCAAAGCCTGCAGATGAGATAGGGCATGTATCTCCTATCAGCGAATATTTGTGTTCAGCTAGTTGTGCCTATGAAATTTGAAGCACTTACATGATCTGTAGAAAAAAACACTTTCAGGAATAGATGTTAATCAATAGCCTAAATACTTCAAATACTGAGAAAACAACCTTGGGGAGTTAAGAAAAAAAAATAATTAATCTTTCTCCCATTAAAATACAAAATTTTAATGAATAGAGAATTTTATTCCAAGTGATAGGAATTTCAAAACTGGGTTCAGACAGTCACATTTAATTTTTAGACTTTTGCAGTGCAATCAACTTCAATGTCTTAACCTAGCTTTTTTTTCAGTGTTCTTAAACTGTACTTGTATGATTTAGAATGAAGTCTTGTAAAATAAGCTTGCAAAGCTTTTGATATTGCAAGGAGTTCTTGCTTGGCACAATATTGATAGGAATTTTTATTTACGGTTACTGTACCATGCATTTTATAAACAGGATGAATGTGTTTAGGCCTCTACAAGGAGTAATCATGTAAACTGCGGTCTCAGTGAAAAGGTGGATATTAGCCTACAAAAGGAACGTTATTTTCAGATTTCCAAACTTCAGTACTTAAATATTACCATCTTTTAAACATGAAGGTTCCAAAGCATTAGTTCCTACTCAATTGCACTTAGGACCATCAGCTTACAGATCCAGTGTATATGTATTTATGAATACTGTTAATGGAGAAGTGGGCAAATAATAAGTCCACTACTGGTACTATAAAAAATACACACAGTGTGTTTATGTGATGCCAATTAATGGCATGTTTTTGAGGAATTCCAGCTTGACAACTCATTGACAAGTCCTGCAAACTTAAGTCTCAAGAATATATGAGACATGACAGAGGCAGCACAAGTTATCCCACCCTTCCTTCCCAATACTCTTCAACCCTGACTTACCATATTCTGTGGAAAAAAAAAAATTGCTATGCCTACTCCACAGTTGTTATCTGTGAGTGACCACCAGCAGGCCTGCTGGCTAGTGCCAGTTCTGACAGTGGATTATGTCGTGAAATGACATTTGGGGTTTGTCCTTGCTCAATAGCAAACACTGTTAAGGAAGTAGTTTGTAAGACAAGTTCCTCGTATATGAAGGTGGCAGAGTTTTACGGGCAAACAGCTTTAATCTGTCCTTTTCTTTTAGGTTACGTTTGCTTACCGGGGGAAAGAGTGGGGGAGGAAAAAGTTTACCTGCCTGAAAAGAAGGAGCTTGCCTACAGAGTAGAAAAAGATTTGATTGCCTGAAAGAAAAAGTGCCTATAAGAAAGAAAAAAAAATGAATATAGCCTGAGTGAGGAGCTTACACACTTGCTTCAAAAAGCCTGCCTGCTTCAGAAAAAAAAAAGCACTTACCTGCTAGAATTCAGCTTGCCAACTTTTCTGCCGGGTGCTGGAAAGCAAAATGCTGAAACAAGGTCTACACTCATTACTTCTGCTGCTATCACACATTCAAAACAAGGCCATCAATTAATTTCTGCACAATAGCCTCTTTAGTTTTAAAATCTACCATGCTTTACATACTGCTTTCAAGGCAATCCTGGCAAGTGAAGGTGCTATGGGAAGTGCTAATCTTTTCATCTTTTTTTGTATGGGTTTAAGAAGGGAACAGATCCTAGAAGTTATTCATCACTTACAAGGCATAACATGAAATTTTCTTGTGCTTTTGAAGTGATTCCCCTGAATATAATTGACTAAACTGATTAAAGCAACTGTTGAGTTGAAAGTCTTCCAATCAAGGTCTGAAAAATGCCTTCCTGTGAAATGTTTAATATTTCTTTTTGTATGATCTCCTTATTAGGGTGTTCAACTCTGTATCTGGGATTTTTCAGGAAAGTGGATTACATCTCCTCACCCTCTCTGCAGCTGACACTGTTTGCTTGAGGATTTGTTTTTAGAACTGGACATTTTATTTTATATATTTTATTTTCTAGAAAACAGGGTTTTAGGCAGTGTATTAGACTAGTTTTTACCTGGCTTTATTTTCAGTGCCCAACCATACAAAATTTTTATGCAAAATGAAAAATATTTAAAATTTAATAGCTATCAAGAAGCCAACTGTAAAATTACATTTTCAATAAGGAAAACACATAAAATATTTTCAAATACTGTATTTCCCCCACTAAAGCTTGTATTTTTCTCAAATGTGGAATTTCACATGGTCACAGAATGGTTGAGGTTGAAAGGAACTTCCTGGACTCATCTTGTCCAGCCCTCTTGCTCAAGCAGGTGACCCACAGCAGGCCACCCAGGACCATCTCCAGACAGTGTTTGAGTATATCCAGCGTCTCCAGATGGAGACTCCACAGCTTCTCCAGGCAACCTGTGCCACTGTTCAGTAATCTGTCATCACTCAGAACACATCCCTACATAGGTACACATATCTATTTTATAGGTATTTTATACCTATAGATATCTCTTATCTATGCATTCATGAGAAAATACATGCTTTCTGTGTCTGTGTGCTTCCACATATGGCATATAATTCTTTTCTGCCACAAAGGACACTGAACACTGAACATAAGAGTGTTCCTATAGCATAGCTTCTGTCCTTATTAATCTTTAACAAATGCTTCCTGGGTAAAGAAAAAGCAAACCAATGAATGTTTATTTTATGCTTACATATTTGGTATACTAGTGCAGTGGATTTGCAGTCAGATTTGGCTCTCTGGGTGCAGTAGGTAGGGTGGGTACATCCTAGATCCTCATCCTGCACTTACCATTTAAGTCGTAATAAACATCAACACACAAGCTTATTTTCGACTCCAAGAGTCAAAATCAGAATGCTTTTTTTAACAAACATACATTAATGTTCAAAAGTTAATATTCCCTCTAATTTTATTTTAAAATAAATAATAAATTTGCTATAGTAATACACTGGTCATGAATGCTGTCTGATTAATATGCTTGCTTCAGCTTTACAGGGAACAAATGGATCTCCTTTTCCTAAGGCCTCTCAGATCCTAACCATATGACTCCTCAGAGCCCTGCTGCTGAAGGGCTCCACTGGAAACCAGATTGCACAAGAGGTGGCAATGTGAGTTTTAGAATCAATTTTAAAGCCTTCAAAAAGTGTACACCTGTGGAATACTTGCTACTTTATTATATTTATCTATATACTTTTAGACACTATGTTATCTATTCATAGTTCAGCAGGTATGCCATGCTCATCAGTTTCCAAATTATTGCTGGCTTCCTGGCACACCTCTTAGTTATTTTTATCTGATATTTCAAATAAATTACAAAATGCCTTGAATTGCATGATTAGTCCATTATGTATTCTATTTATTACAATTATATGAACTTTTGATTAACCTCCATAAGTTTCATGAATAAATTACCTGGATCGAGGAAACTGCCAGTTACTGCTACAATGTTCCAGTGGGGAGTTTCCGAGAGATTAATCTGCCTTTTTTAGAGGCAGCTTTTTTCATCCCAGCTTCCTTTAAAAGGAATACATACTGCTGCTGCTGCTAAGTTGTGATGAAGAACGTGTGAATGTATTTGCAACCCGCTCAAACTGAGTGGGTGCAAAATTTACTCACAGAACCACATCTTTGGAAGATGATTTGTGCCCTTTCAAATATTGATGGCACAGCCACTCTAACATGATGAGGATAAATTGTGCTAATCATAGTGAGCCTCCCAAGCTGCACTGTATCACAATCCAGGGATTTCTTTCCCATGTCTTCTGTGAGTGGT